TTTAGTTTTTGCTTGAGTTGTTTTATCCATTATTCCTTGTTTATAATAAATAAGGAAATGCTTAACTTGGAGACTGCTTGAAGAGACACATGCAGTGCCCAACACAGCCTGCTTTAACCACTGGAAACAAAGTGGAGAGAGAAAGCTTTGTTGCCCTTGTCATAGGCAAGCAAGCCGGCCTGAAACTGCTCTAAGGCAATTGTCCTCAGCAAATTAGCAGCTGGTCAAGGAGAGCGTTTCCTAAAGATGCACTGAATAGTGCCTAAAAGCCACCCTTATGACTCAGTGTTTCTGTCATGTGTCAGCACCAGGTGAATACACTGGTGTCAGTGTTACATTCAGTGTTGTAATCATCCTTGACAAGATGAAATATGGTCTCCGAATTCCAGGAACATATGGGATTATTGAGAAAGAAAATTGTGTGAACAAGGGCAATTATAGCAGTAACTAACCATGGCACAGACTGCATTGAGTCATCCAAGCATAACATAGATATAATGAAAATATTTTTAAAGGCAAATATTATGTAAACCACTGCTAAAATTATCTAATTTACTATTCTGACACAAGTGATAAATGTAAAAAGAAAAAAATGTATATCTCTATTTCACAGAGAATGGTCTTTTCTGTATTTCTTGCTACATGACTTGGATGTTTACAAAGGAAGTGAAATTTCTTTGCAAGGGGTATTGAAAGGTGATGAAACACGTTTCCCATCTGAATTCCAATCTATAGTTTTTCTGGATTCAGTTGATCTTGTTATTCAACACCACAAAATTCCCGTCCCATGTAACTTTCTATCAACACCCCACATCTACACAGCTGTGCAGCACAGAGGAGGCAGTTGGCAGCCTATTTATTACAATAGAACTGGCTTTAACCTTGAAAACAGGGTTGCTCTGAAAGTAATGCCCTTTATTTTGTCATGCTGGCCCACAACATCAGAGGTGAATGTTGGTGGGATGGCAGCAGAGGTTGAGCCTTCCCACTGATATTCCATTACATGCTGCTGCTGTGTAGATGGCAGCAGAGGGGCACTCTGACTGAATGGCACCTGATGTGGGAGTGTGTATGGAGCAGAGGTGTGGAATTTAATTCCTCCATGTGAATGAACTGCAGCCATTAACATTCATTGATGCCTGCTGAACGTTTATGGACACTGAACAGTGGATGTGAGCACAGTGAGGTGATGGGTAGTGAAACACTGTGGAACAGTGGATCACCTCCACTGGCACAGATATTTATGAGCACAGCATGCAAACTCTTGTGCATCGCTGGTGAAAATGCACAGCCAATGGTGGTGACTACGTTAAAAATAGTACCTGAGAATTTGCTAATAGCCAAATAGTGTTATTGTGTTCTTAGAATATGTCGTTGTTGCCATGGGAATAAAAAGGAGGTGTTACTTTTGATGTGACCAGCGTAATAAATGCTCTGCTTGTCAACTGTGAGTTACAAAGCACTTAACGAAGAGGACAGTATAATTATTTTCATTTCCCTGATGGAATAAACGCATAGTCAGGAAAAGCCACTTGCTGAAGGTCATGCAGTGGGGTATGAGCAGAACAATGACAAAAGAAGAAATAATAAGCATCAGATGCTTCAGAAATCTTTCTTTAAGGGGGGAGTACACCTGTGCTTGGTATATCCCATAGCTATAAACTGCAATGCAGAAATACTGTCTGCACATATCTGTGCCATGTTAGACCGTGTGATTCACATAGTAGGACTTCTCAGACGAGTTGAGATCTGCTTGTTTGAGCATAACATTAACACTCACAGGGAACCGTATTTTTTATACTGTTGTTTATAATCCATGTCAAAAGAATAATTTGAACAAATACAAAATTATTTTAGGAAATTAACATTTCTTATTTATCTGAGAAAAAAAAAAAACAACACAACAAAACTAAATTGTTTTCCTACTTACTGGCAGAGTCATTCCTACTACATTACATATTTTAAAACTCACATCTCATTCAATTAAGATTTCATACCATTGACAAAATGATGCTGTCCTGAAAAAAAAATATTGCAAAAGCCACAGTATACATGCCCATAAATAAACTGCAAGATTTCCAGGCTTCAGAGACTGAGGACAGAAAGAGACTGTTTAAAGATTCATTTATACATTTCTTATTCAGTACATTTGCTGCATTCACTAACAACAAATACATTGAATCGAACAAAAAGAACAGATTTAGGTGGCTATGGAAAACGGTTTTTGTGGTTTTTTTTCCATCAGTCTATCAAAAACATAAGAAACCCCAGCCCCAAACTAACATAAATACCATGTTCTAACTCCTAACCTCATGTGACATAAACAAGATGTATACTGCTTCATCACAAGTCATGTTCAAACGCTAAAGCATGGGACACAGGTGGATCTCAGTGGATCTCAGTAGGTACAGGATAATAATTAATATCCCTTAATATCTGACACATCTATAGCACATTTTGTAGTACAAAACCAAGAACACCTGCATGTTCTTCTTTTTGATAAACAAATTTAAAATCTGGTATATACCTGGGTGAAACGCAGATTTAGCTCCTGTATCACTGTCATTTGGTATTGTCATTTGTATGTCATGTGTTGTTTTCAGTTGGATCTTGGGCAGCAATACGGGTGGCCAATATACAGCCAGCACAGGAGGAAATGCATTCAATGAAAACTGCGTAAAAAGAATAAGTCTTCAAAAATAAGATTTAAGAACAAAAGCTTTGATATGTCCTTTTTATGTTACACTACAATGAATGGAAGTTATGAAGGAGGGTTTAAATCGATACCCATGATCACAGTGTTAAAACAAACAGACAAAAAAAACAACACACATGCTCCAGTATCAAAAAATATGCTTAAATACGTTGTCTGCACACAAAATAGACACTTTGCACTCTGCTATCACAGTACAGTTACAGTCTTCTCCGTACATTCTTAGGGCTCCTTCTACTGCATCTTTTGGGGCAAAACAAACAAAGGCACAAAAAAATGTAACAATCTCAGAGCAAGAAGAGTCAGTATGTTTGTACAGCTGAAAGACAGTCCAACTTATAAAAAAACTAAGAAAAAGCTATACACAAACGCTGAAAGGAGGACACAGCCATTTAGACGTTTAGCTTTTACTGACCCTCTCTAGCTGTCAACAACTTGGAATTTATTTACCGACTGGCAACACAAGATTAGAAGCCTATAATTTTATGTACATATGTGTGGATATGCAGTGTGTCACATTCTGCTCTGAAATTCAGCTCAGGTCTGGAGAAACTGAGATAATTTCTGTAGACTTTAAAGTTGTAGGCACAGACAGACATGGGTGGACTGTGGGCTTTCAGTTTGATGACCATACCAAGCCTTGGTAAGGATGGAGAGGAAGCAGAGGGGATGGAAAAGCTTGAAGCAAACTGAAATAATTCAGTTTCTCTTAGTGCAGGCAGGAAACATGGAGAAAACTTGTTTTGGATCAACAACAAATGAAATGTACCAATGCTTTCTAAAATTTCAACTTCACTGCTTTTGGATTAAACTTTTCACTAAATTCAGTCCTAACTGATGAATGCTTCCTGTTCCTAAAGTTCAATTGTTTTTTTGGTTTTTTTCTTCACAACTTTTCCGAGCAATAAACAATTTCTACCCTGCAAAATCACAGTGCAAATATCTTTTCTCTTTGAAATCACAGGCAGATATCTTGCTAGATTCACTGGGACCAGATGTCCTCCTTTTGCAGTGGTTCGGTAGCCAGTTGTCTTACAGAGACACTCGGGACAAGGAGACACGGCACAGGCACTCTGTGTTGGAGTCGTATCATCACTGAAAACTTCTTTTCAGACTCTGGCTGCTGAGTAAATCCTAGACCAGTATTACATGTTTTTAGGGACTCTGACCACCTCTGGGGCTTATAGCCTGCTTTACCCCAGCTGGAAGGTTGCATCATTGGCACAGCAGTGTACTTGGAGTACACCTTGCACCCCAAAGGTCACTTTGGTGAACATACAAAACACTAGTCTAAAGGAAAAATGTATTTTTTTTTCCCCTTAAAGACACTTCATGGCAGCACTAAAGCAGAAGTTATTAGGTGTTGAGCAGAGCTTAAAAGCACAGAACGCTCAGTGGAGATCTGTTTAAAAGTTGCCTGTAGGTAACAATATACAGACTTATTTGCAGTCTGGCTGTCTTCACAGTATAGCATTGTGTAACATTTTTGTGGTTGCAGTTCAGTGTCCCAGTCTGACAAGTAAAAGGAGAAGCGTAAGTCACAGTGCCAGGCTTTGATTTCCAAAAGGTACAATTAATGCATTTGCAAAACACAATTGATGGACAGTTGTTGATTGTATCCAAAGCTTCAGACAAAGCAATACAGATACATTGTATTGCAATACGTCAGCAGACACAAATCAGCAACAGGAGGCGTGGACTGCCATAGGGCAATTGTAGCCATTTCTGCCTTTATAGATACGTTGTAAACAGCAATATCTAAAATACTAATAGGTTCATGTATAGAAGTGTTACACCTTGCATGTGCTGTTTATGTGTATAGAGACATATGTGCTGCTCAGCTTTGCTAATTCCACACCCATACCTGGGAGCTGAGTAGCCTGGATTTGCTTCTCCCTCAAGTCTCGGTTTCTTTGTAGCATTTAAATTAACCAGCACACTGTATTTTGAATAAGCTTCGCTTCAATAACTGGATTCTGTAAGGTAATAAGTGTAAACAAAGTGTGCACAGCAAGACCAGAAGAGCCCCATTACAATGTCACAATGGGAAACGTTTCATTTTAGAGCATAAAAATCCATCTTTCCCAAGATATGCTAACTTCCCTCTGTTCCGGGATCTGGAAAGATTCAGATGGCAGTAAACCCTTTTTGCATACCTAGTGTTTTCATCAATGCTGACAAAACCATCCAGTGTATATTTGTGCTATTTACTTTCACCAATAATGCTAACAGGCAAGTGGTAGAACGTGGTACAGTTTCAAAGACAAACAGAATCAGGCTATTTAGTCAAGAAAACAATAAGTAATTTCCAATCTAATAGTCAGTGATTAAAAAGGCAGTTTGCTACTGGTATTAACAGTGAGAAAATACTGGTGGACATTGTGTCAGAGGTCCTGAATGTATGGCTTGATTTTCACTGAGAAGCTGGCACTGCTGTCAGACTGCTGATAAATCAATGCGGTTGGCTGAATTGGTGCTTTTATCCCAGGTGTTCAGCTTTGTGGGGGTTGTACCTGGCCTGTTCCCGCTCATCTAGAACAAATAACATTGAAAGTAAATTTATTTATTTTGCTAAACCACTCTTGTCTGATGAAATAAAAGCTTGAAAGGATCTATTTACATTACAACGTTGTCATAGAATCTTGAAAGCATATTCCATAAAGGGTTTTTAAGTTATTGCCGGAATCTAAGGGTGATTGGCAGTGATCACTTAATAATACCTATCACTTCAGGAGTCCAGCTTTTTATAAAAACAAATATATTTTGCCTCAAGGCAATCTAAGCAAAGCTGGAAAAGCATACGCATGCATTGATTTATTTAAGAGTTTGTTTCTCAGACTTAAAAGTGCCCTATCAAAAAGGCATAGTCATAAGACAGATCCATTGCCAAAATGCTGCTTGACTACGTAATGTGAAGTTCATTACAAGTGATGGAGATGGTCTCATTGAACCATACTCCAGAGCTGGTGACTCTGCTTGCCTGCTTACTTTTATGTGATGGTTTACAAGGAAGTAGAATTCTGTCCTTTGCTTTCAGTGCTTTGCACTGTAGCTGCAACATAATACTGGCTGATTCCACCTCTCTTCACAGTGCATTAAGCTAGGTAACCACACACCTTTTTGTGCCCTGTTCTTTCAACAGAATGTGATGTAGAACCCTTTCACGTACAGTAGAAAAAAAAGGACAAATACTCACAATGTCGGAATTGAAGGGTTTTACATTGATGTTGCGAGTCGAGCTACTGGTGAGGGACCACACCTTGGTTTTGTGCTTAAAAGCAGCTCTAACCTTTGGGAGGAAAAAGTGGTATAAGACAAAAGACTTATTTTGGAAAAAGTTGTGTGTATTTTCTCAGGTGCTGGCTACAATTGCATCCCATTACCCTTCCCTCGTATTAATGTCACCAACAACTACATTATGTACTAAAAACAGCAGTCTGCTCCTACATTTTTATTTATATTTTAGTTATTTATTTTTCAAGTACTCACAGATTAAATACAAAACATTTTATAACCTCATTATGTCTCATTTCTCTGGCAGTGTTTTCATGCTATCTGGGTTATCCCATCCTCCTTGATGTCCAAGCTATTACTATTCATCTTGTTTGAAAGAAAAAATATGTAAGCATACTTATTTGTATTTGCAGTCCTTGTATGAAGGAGCACCTTTGGGCAGGCTCTCCCTGGTGCTCTTGCAGCCCTGATGGTACCCAGACACCTTGAAGATATAAGTCAGCTGCCAGCCTGCCCTTCTCTGTGCTGCTTGTGCATTTCTTGTCCTTGAGCACAGGGAACAGAGCTCTGTCTTTTACCCAGCTGCACAGAAATATCTGCAGATTTTGCTTTACAGTGGCTGAATTTTACTTCTGTGGTAAGAAGGAAAGCATTCTCACAGTTTAGCTGAAGTATTTTAGAGATGCACGGCATACGGCAAAGCCAATAGGACCTGCTCTCCAAAAGTGCTTGTTCACATTACCTGTACGTGAATTATTTTTTGAGTATTCAAATCCTGAAATGTTACTGAATTTCATTTCTCATTAGTTTTCTGGAAAAATGCCCATGATTCAAACATTTCTATTTGATATAAGAAGTGATTATTGACAGAAGGAAGAAGGCTTTTAAGTATGGGGCAAAATAGGACAGAGAAGTATTTTTTCTCCTTACTTTTAGCCTGCCTGCTTAACTTTAGTTGATTCCAATAAAGATAAAGAATTCCACAGTCAGTCTTGGCTCTATGAACTGACTGTAGAAAAAATCACGTCAGTGCTCTAAGACTGAATAGTTGGTAAATATTAATAAGCTATAATTGCTTACTGAAACATCTTCTTGGAAGAGCTGGAGTGCTTTTGATGCACGGGAACTAAACAAGCTATAGGGCAGAGCTACTCCATAGCATCCAGATGGAATAACTGTGGAAGAATCAAAGCTGTGTAAGTATTCCCTAGGCAGTGCCCACTGTGGGCATGCGAGAAATGGTTTTTGTAAGAAATTTTCATTATCAGCAATACATATTGCTGAGGATTTTCTGCTGTCTGCTGTTGGAAGAGAGGATGCTGTGAGCTGCGGGCCAAGCAGGGATGTCTCTGCGACATCAGCCCTGCCTTGGCTTTGTCCCAGCTGCTTTGAGACAGCCTTTGTGTGAAAAGATGCCTCTTGGTCCATTGTGAAAACCTCAGCTCCTAGCCAAGAAAAATACCTGGAATATGTTCTACACTGTTTAGTTTCCCATTAAGAACTGCATGAGCAGTCTCCTAAAGTATGTTTTGCTGAGATTAATGCTTATTTTCCTCTCTGGAACTGCAGATGTAACAAAGCCAGAGGCTCCCAAGCAGGGACTGCCAGAGTGAGCCCTGCTGCCACCAGTGCGAACCCCTCCCTCAGAGCACAGCCCATGCCCTGCTCAGCCCCTGGGAATGTGTCATTTCTTTAGTCTAAAGATGCCTTCACCTATCCCTTGGAAACCTTTCTTTGTTAAGTAAAATAAATGCCAAACATGGGTCAAAGTGCTGCAAATCAGTAACAGCAGTCATACCGAATTTGCTAACACCATTTTGTAACGTACCTCTGAATTCAGAAGACAGTGAAACAGGAACATGAAAAACCCCTGAAAACAGAGAAAAGGGTCAAGGGTAAAGAATGGCTGTGAAGAATAACATACTGTAATGCATTTCTCACAGACTGTGTAACTATAAACACTGAAAACGGGATAAATTTTGCCCAGCTTTAAACTGGAGAAACTTGCAACATTAGGTTCCTATGCAGCTTGCCTAGATCTTTTCATGTCAAACACTGCCTCCTAAACTTAGGGGTTCTGCAGGAAAATATCTAGTAGAAAATAAGCCAGAATTCTTGTTGTGAGCTACATGAGAACATTTTGACTGTTCATTGGACTGAAAATGTAGAGGCTGAGGGAAATGCTTCGGAGAATTTCCCCAATGTTCTTTTATAGAGTTTGTTTTCTTTTTGATGCAAATTTAAGCTTTTCTAATCAGTCTGTCAAGAGCACTGTGTTGCCATCTTTCTGTGACCATAGCAGTGCAGTATTTGTTCCTGAGGTAGCAAAGGATTTATAAAAGTTAACATTTTCTTGTACTTTGTAATCATTATTTGGGAAAGAACTCACCTATAGCTTTATAGCTCTACTGGAAGCTGTGTTTAAAGCTAGGCAATGCTTGCGTTCTTTCCCAAACAGAACTCTTTTTCCAGATCAGAGTCTTAAGAAGTCACATGCTGCTTTCTGCAGCATGCAGAACAGATTCCTTTTTCTCCTTATGCAGCACTGTTCCCAGCAACTTCTGTTTGTTTTCAGTTATTCTTGGTAACGAAGCCTCAAACTGACGCAGAAATTTTGTTCTAGTAAATTTACAAGAAGAATCTTGCCTTTGCCTTTAAGAATCCTGCCCGTGATACCTAGTGCTAAAAGAGTAATCTGTTTCTCTAGCTCACTCTCTAATTTATTTAGCTATTGCTACTGGAAGCACTAAGGAATGGGATGAAAGTTCTCTTCATACAGAGATTAAACAATTGCCAGCACTGTGTGGTCAGCACACACTTAAAAGACACAGGAAGGAATAGAGAAAAATCCAATAAATGAAAGCATGTGAAAAGATTACTAATGATCCATTTATTGCATCTCAACAGCAGTTCAGTAGCCACAACCTTTCCAATCAGGTACTTACTTGTAGTGAATTGAAAACAGCAAACATATACTGAAATATTAACGTGTGGGCATTGACGGCCAGAATCCCGAAGATCCATGAGCTTCCCAGGATTGGTAAGAGAACTGCAACAGCTTTAGCTGTAAGTCTGAAAGAGAAAATAGTGAAGGAAAACGTGATGAGATAGTTAAATTTCAGGCCACGCACCAGGGAATTTATCAATTATTTCTTGGTAGAAAGGTAGTGTGCCTGTAACTCTCTTTGCCATAAAATTCCTTCAGTGGGCTGGTCTCTTAGTTACTCACTGCTCATCTATAAGAATGGGGATAACAGAAGCTTGATATCGCATGGGATAAATACAGATTGAGAGAGTCAGTGACTGAGGGTACCAGGGAAGGGATGGAGAGATTCTCCTATAACTACTGTAGTTGTACCTTCAGTTTTCAGTAATGTATAATCATCTCTTCAGTGAGGAACAGGAAGTGTAAGGGTCAAATGCAGAGGGCCAAATCTGAGAACAAGAGCAGTATCACATGGAAAAGAATAAAACCATTATGTAGTATATCCAAAGTACATTTGCTTACTAGCAAGACAACTTGGTATTGCTCTTCTGGAAAGTGACTTGGGATTTTTAATCACCACAAATGGAATGAAACACTATCTACCTCTGCCAAATGCAAATCCTGTAACACCATGGTATTATTCTGCTTCCTCTCTGCTTTGTCAGAGTTGATTCAGAGAAATATATGCCAAATTCTGAAATAACTTGTGTTTCTTGGAGGTGTCTCGTGATACATATTCACTCTGCTTAGCTTGGAGCATTTGGCAGATTTTCAGTAAAAGACGATATGACAGCTGAAAATGTAATAGCACTGAGAAAATGGTTCTGCCTTAATGAGCTGTGCCTAGGATGTTCGTTATAGTGGAAGATTAAAAGAAATTGAAGAAACTGTAGTATTCCAGAGAGCTATATGATCACAGAAAGCTTTCTGCAGCAGCTGAATTCTGAGGATCAAATTCTATATAATTTGGTTCTTGCATTTGTTTTCTGCTTTCACACAAACATCACAAATATTTCTCTCTACAACAGAATACTACTCACCAACTTCCAGAAAGGTCAGGCTCGACTAATGAAATTTAGTTCACTAAATGAGTGCTTATCCTACACAATTGTCTTCTCCCTATGAAGCCTTCAGAGCATTGTCTCTGATTGGTGCTAATGAATAGCACTAAAGTATTGTACTTTTTTGTCTGCATACACCCTGTAATATTGACTGCAGGAGTAGTGCAGTGATATCCCTATAGAATGTTTCTAGTGTATTCACAGAAACAGGAGAAGACAACGGGGTTATGCTATGGAAGTCCTTGCTAGAGGATGTTACCAGTGGTCCATCCACTTTAATGCAAGATGGCAGTCGTTCTGTTCTTAGTTTAATCCATCTGTTTTTAGATTAAGACAGTAAACACCTTAGTTATTGTTCTCATCAATTGAGCCAGTAAAGGCAGGTATGAGATAGAACAGGGCCAAGTGACTCACAATGGAGTTGTTATTAAGTTGTCTCTCACTTTTTCCCAGTGAATGCCATGCACCTCATTCACAGCACTGAGCAGCCCAAAAGCATTTGTGATGTCTGTCCACTCTGTAAGCTCTCAAAGCTCCCCACGGATCCCACAGGGCAAAACATGTTTGCTGTCAAAACACTACTAAGTAGACAGACTGGTGCTATTCTGCCTGTCAAGGATGAACAGATGTGCAAAGAACCTTTGCACACCCAGGCATCACATTTTCAGTGACAGCTATCAAAGGACAAACTCTTCCTCTGCAGCAACTGAGTACAGTGTTGGTGGCACAAAATAGAAAGCGCGGGGAAAGAAACTGTCCCTGCTTGCAAGGCAGATAGATCCAATCTCTGCTTACCACAGTGCTTATAAGCAGGTACTTAGCTCCTCTTGTAGCCCATAGGATTTAAGCATATTCTTACACTTAAGTATGTGTTTAAAGTATTTTGTGAATTTTGTCTATGGTACAATCAGAGATAAAGAAGGCAAAGGAGCAGTAAAGGGAGTACAGGAGAATCTAAAAGACTGTCCAAACTCATATAAGCTCAATTTCTCAGAAATTAGCAGATTTTTATTTATCTGAAAACCTATACAGAATAGAAAGTTGTTTCAGAGCGATTAATGTTGTAGATTTGTATATGTGCCATTTAGCTCCTCATACAAGCTAAAGTAGGGGTTTGGGATAGAAGTGCACAGAACTGCATAACAAGCAATCACTTGTAACAAACATAAGACAAATGAGATTGTTTCAATGCAATGAAGAAATCTTTTAATTAAATACTTAGATCCAAGACATCTTGTTCATTTCAGTGACCTGAGCACACACTTCATTATATCCTTTATTAAAATCTGTGCTGAAATACTGCATAGGCTTCAGTTTTATAGGGAAATCTGAGACAGGGAAGAATCAAAAATCTATTTTTTCCCTGTATTGATAAGTATCTCAATGTCCTTGGTCATGACTGTTTCTGCATAATTTAATTTAATTCTGCAGAGTTTGTTCAGCCAGAATAATGAAAAAATACAATAAAGCCTGAATTCTCTTATTTAATTAAGATATGCATTTTAAATGATACCATTTTGAAGCAACTAAGTGATAGAAGCTTGTTTTCATGAGTCAAGGATGCTTTCTTTTTCTCTGTTAAGATTTAAATTCATCACCTCAGCTGTGACAGAAGGCACATGCTCAACCAAGGAGCTGCCAGCAGACCAACTTCTGCAATAAATGCTGTGCACAAAGATCTGTGTAATCCTACACAGCCCTCGAATCCTCAGCAAGATGCATCTTCCCAGAACTCAGAGCAGATAGAAGGGGGAGAATGCATGAGCATAGAGGATAGGGGAGCTACATTCAGGCTTTGTGATGGTTTAGAAGTCCCCTGTAAGCCAGCAGGTGATCAGTATGCCCAGCACATCTACATTTGTAAAATGCTCATCACTACAAATCACCTTTTTTCCCTCTTTCATTCTTAGACTCTCCATTTTTATAAAACTTGCAATTTAGAATATGATTTTCCCTGCTGTTTTATTACTAGAAATAAGTTTTCATTATCTCTTTTTGAGTTTTAGCATTACCAGCTTCATTCATTGTGGTCTGGGGGACAACAGAGTCAGGTTCTCAATGTCAGTGTTCTTAAAACCAATCCAACTGTTTGGATTTTCAAGAATTTTTAACATCACAAATGCCTTGAATATTTAAAAAAAAAAAAAAACAACAAAACACAAAACCCCACAAATATTGATTAAACTCCACTCACTTTTAAGCACAGAATTCAGCAGAAATGCATAGCTAAAATGAAAACAAAATGCAGGTATATGGGATTTTTCTTGCACATGTATGCATGTTTCATGACTATCCACTTAGAAATGCAGCAGGGGGTAAAATTCATTTAAGGCCATCTAACAGTTACTTCTGCCTGCATGTCACAATCTCACTAAGCCTTTTTTTATTTTCTTAACTGTTTACCTGCTCTGAATTTCTGTGTACACATTGTTAGTTCAAGGTATTTGTGAGCTTTACTCACCAAGCAAAGGAGTCAGCTCCGTTCTTCCCAGTCTTTCATTTTCTTCCACTTACCCCTCCCCTCCCCATCCTTATTTCATTTTGTCTTTGAACTTCAAAAAAAATAGAATAATAACTGTAAAATGCTGTGTCAGAATACCACTAAGGCAGCAAGGTTAAAAATGACTAAAAAAACCCTAAGAAATACAAAAGCTAATGTTCCAGTAGGATCATTAATTCCATCATACTGCACATACTTTTTTACTATTATTATTCCCTTTTTTCTCTGCTACATGAATACGTCAGTAGATTAGCTCTACTACGCTAAGATAGAGAGCACAACCTAATACATGTTGTGTTTGGAGAAGGAATGCTGCATGGCTTCAACTGTGCAACATTTAGAACAAATTTTACTCCCATCATTCATCATTTGAGTTTTCTGCCATGTGAAATTGACAACATGAAGAACCAAGGCAGTGGGGCAGAGGCAGGTGTTACTTTGCAGATACTGCGGTCTGGTTCAAACAGGGCTCCATAAACCTTGCTAAAATCTTTCTTCGTCCTTGTGCCCTAAGTGCGTTGGAAAGCAGAACGGCCTTTTCTCTAAATCTCTCCTGCGTGCCCTTCTCATGTCTTGGATTTTGAAATTAAAAGCAACACAGCACCTTGTTTTTCACACCTACTTTTTAAAGTTCGGACATTGTTACTCTTCTGCACTCTAATAGTGTAATGTTCTGTGAGTTCGTCGTGTCTCTGCACCTGTGTACACTGGGTGATCAGCACTGGGATGAATCAATTAAGAACAAAGCAAAATTGGCAAAAAAGATTTATTTTATCCTATTGTTATTTCCTTTAGCCAGAGTGTTTTTAGGTATGCGCCTGTTATTACTTCATAATATAGAAAACTTCTGTTAAACACAAAAGAAACTTAAGTCTGATTAAATTTTTATATTTGGTGGATATGGAATAGCCCTTGAGATATCCTGTCTATCAATTCATGCTCCTGCTAGTATGATTTCTCACTCTGACACTGTAATAACAGTGTCTGCAGCTGGACTCAGCAAGAGCTATTCTGGTGTGACCTGATTTCCTTACAATTTTCATGGCTGTTTATTGCAAAACAGAAGCATCACCAAACTGGTACAGCACAGTATCATCCCATCTGCAGTCCTGACCTGTGCACTGATCAGTTCTTAGATGAAAAGGAAGTCTTCTGAGTTGGATAATTATTGTAGCTGTATGGAAGTGCTGGTGTGCAGGTTTCAGCACCTCTGAGACATATTTTATTCACCTACATCACATAAAGTCATTGCACTATTAGTAAAGTTTCTGCAAATGTTTTTTCAAGAGCAGAGGTGGATCTCATAGTTTTATTGTATTTGCAATTGGTTTGGAACAGCTCTGCTCAATTGAGATTGCTCCCTTCCCCTTATTTAATCTCTGCCCTTTTCTGCTATTGCCCTGAGCACACTGTCGATATCTTATACCAATGCAGAATGACTACACTGACAGCTACAAGAAAGAAATTTCACTGCTTGCAGAAGGAAAATTTTATTGCTTCTGTGAAGGGGACCCCTAATTCACAA